AAATTAAATTGATCACTTGGGAGTGAAGCCAATGAGAGACTTTTTTTTTTCTTTTTAATGTATAAAACACGAAACATTTCCATGAAAATTATACCTGGAAGACAAGGTCAAATTACAAATTTTATAATATTTTGTAACTCTGAGGATTAACATTAGCCATGAAACATCCAAGTTTCTTGTTCAACTTCAGCTTATCAGACCTTCAAACATATTCTCAGAAATACATTACACACAAAACGAAAGGACTAACTTCACATTTCTCAGCCAGAAGGAGAAAAGCATAACCACGTGATCTTGCCTCAGTCATCCAGCTGACCCTACTGACACTACTATCCGTCTGGTGTCAGTCACACTAATGGTAAGCCTAGAACCCAAGAAAAGTTTACCCACATACATGGGCCTTGCCTACTCAGCATCAAAATTCTTGCACTATCTTGCACTATTCCGTAATTTTATAAAGTCTTCTAAGGCAGGGACCAGTGCCTATGTGTCCGGGTCTCCCCCATGGTATTGAGCACAAGCCTGGTTCTGCATGAATGACCACTGACCATGAAACACACTGGACAATGTGCTGATGTTGGTGATCCTGATCACAGTGACCATGGTAATGGAAAGAACAGACATCAAAATGGAAAGTCCGAGAAGAACTCTTGCTACCAACTTGAATAGAGACAAAATGCTGAATATGTATGAACACTCAACCTGACATCAGCAGGAAACCCACAAACTTTAGCAAAAAATAAATCTCTCTGAAAGAACAAACATGTGATGCTACTCGGATTAAAAATCTTTATCCCTAAAAGTCCCAAAGCAATCACAAACAATACAATTGACCAACTACTTGAAAGGGCAATTTGCTGCTGAGAGCAAAGATTTAGAACTGGGGAGGAATTCTGGCCAGAGTTAAATAATGACAGAAGGATCAAAAATAAGAGAAGGTAAAGGATCAATCGATTGGCTGGCGTGTTTATCCATAATGCAAAGTGGAAAAGATGCCAGCAGCTAACTTTGAGTCCAGTTATTAAAAGAAGAACATTCAGTTTAAGGTCCATGACAAGTGTCATTCTGAAGGTTATTCTGACAAGTGTATAAGGTAACTTCAGCCATACAGCTTCAAAAATATGAAATTTGGCTTAGAAAGATGGAGTAGAGGGTTTGGTCCTCACTAATACTTGATTTCAGGGACACCTGGGTGACTCAGTCAGTAAAGCATCTGACTCAGTTTTGGCTCAGGTCATGATCTCACTGTTCATGAGATTGAGCCCTGTGTCGGGCTCCCCACTGACAGAGTGGAGCCTGCTTCAGATTCTCTCTCTCCCTCTCTTTCTGCCCCTTCCCAAGCTCACGTGCACATGGGCGGGTGCTTTCTCTGTCTCATAAAATAAATAAATAAACTTAAATGTTTTTTTAAATACTTAATTTCTAGTAAGTTCAGATATGAAATTGTTATACACTTCCCTATGGTTGATCTTTGAATTATAAAATGTGCATGTGTTCAAGTATATGTGTTAGTAACCTATTTTGAGAAAAGTTTCTGTTTGAGTAATTGTTAAGCTTAGAAACAAATTTTTAGGCATTATTATATGAAAAAGTTGATAGCATGTTCCTCCACATAGTCCCATAAAATTTCCAAAATCTGGAGTCAACGAAAAGAAAGAGATCTGCATGCTAAGCCAGTACCAGGCTAGAATAATAATGATACAAGCACTTTCTATTATTACTTTTAGAGCTCTTACTGTGGGCCAAAGTGATGACAGTAGACCTTTTAATGTACTTAATTAATTAATTAATTTTTAATTTAGAGAAAGAGAGAGAAAACACATGTAAGCATGAGCAGGGGTTGGGGAATGAGGGGAAGGGACAGAGAGAGGGAGACAGTGCAGAGCCAAATCTCAGGACCCTGGGATCACAACCTGGCCAAAATCAAGAGACAGATGCTTAATAACTGAGTCACCCAGGTACCCCACTAGTAGACTTTTCTGAACGAATTGTTTTTTTTTATATTATCATCACAGTAACACAGGGAGGTAAGTAGTTATTATCCCAGTGTTACAGATGAGGCATGCAGATATATGGTAGCTAAGGAACTTGCTAAACATCAGCTAATTAGAAGGTAAATCAGAGTTTGGTTACAATCTTTCTAATTTTGTAATTCATACTTTTAATCACTGGATCATCCTAGAAGTTAGAAATATCTTCACTAACATCTGAAGAATATATTGCCTTACATTTGTCATTTTTATCTTAAAAGATATTTTTCTTTAGTGATGCAAGTTTTTTAGGTTTATTTACTTATTTTGAGAGAGAGAGAAAGAGAAAGAGAACACGAGGGGGGGAGGATTAGAGAGAGGGGGAGAGAGAGAGAATCCCAAGCAGGCTCCAGACTGTCAGCACAGAGCCCCATACAGGCCTGAACTCAAGAACCATGAGATCATGACCTGAGCCAAAATCAAGAGTCAGACACTTAACTGACTGAGTCACTCAAGTGCCCCTCCTGATGCAAATTTAAAGGCCTGATGTATTAAGTTGGATTTTATAATATCTTAAGATTTTATTTTTTCTTCAGGAACGGAGTCCTCTGTCTCTCTTTCTCTCTTTCTCTCTCTCTCTGTCTCTCTCTCTCTGTCTCTTTCTCTCTCTCTCTCTCTCTCTCTCTCTCACACACACACACACACACACACACATTCAAGCAATGGGAGAAACAGAAATCCCTATATGTAAATTCATTCTACCAAAGGATTTTCAAGCCTAGTCACTTACTGAGGCTGTATAGCCATTTGGACCCCAAAACCCTCCCTCTCCCCTCACTCTGCATGTCCTGATTTTCCTCCAAATACCAGGGCTCCCTTCCTGCTTCATGACTCTGTTTGGAACTTCACTGCTATGTTTTTGGACCTCCTACACTTCCAAGAATGGTGGACTAGAGCCCCTTTCCTTGATAATTTCATTTGTCATGGCCCCTAGTTGGAGCAGTGCTGTCCCTTACATGCAACCTGGTCTTTTCTTCTATTAACCACAGCTTCTTTAGATTTCTCTTTTACCTATTACCTTAAAAGCCCTTTCCAAATTCACCCTCAGAGAACTGTCAGCAATCAACTCCCTTCCCGCTTCCATAATGCATTTTATTTTGTCTACCTCTCACAGTCCTCAAGTGTACATTCTGTGTAACAGAGGGATCTATACTGCTCTGCCTGGGTCTGCTCCTTTTTTATTTCTGGTCCTTGAGTAGTATAGTAACACCAGGTGAAGCAGGCCAGAGTCCTTTTCTGTCATGGTAAAGCTCCATGGTTACCGGTAGGCTTGTTTATCGTCAGTTTTCTACTTTTCCTCTGATAACAGACTCTCTCAACTGGAACTGCTGGACTCACTAACATCCCACAGATGGATACTCAGAGCTGTCCTTGGAGCCTCCGGGCATGGACTGCTACAGCGCTTCCTCACCTATGCCCAGCTCCCGCCCCTGGCCTCTCTGTCACTTTCAGATTTTAAAACCAAAGTCAGGTGCAGAGCTTACCTTCAGATGAGCAACCTGTGGCTCGTACTCAGAGACCACTGGCACTGAGGAACATTTCTTTGTCCTCATGTGTCTTATTTTTGTTCTGTTACACTGCTGTGTTTAGATTCTCCTCTTCTCCGCCCCTCAAGGGGCAGCTGCACATACATGCACAGGTGCTCACACACCTTCTCCCCCAGAAAGGTCAAAGTGTGGGAAGACACCCTCCCCAGGGTTCCCCCTCTCCATAACTAACATTTTTGAAATGTAAAAGACTGAGGAGTTATCTTTGATATTCATTTGAGTGTCTTTACATCATGGCTCCTTTTTGCTTCTATATCTTTTATTCATGTGCACTCTAAATACCCCATTCTATTATATAATCACAGAGGACAGGGACGGCATCTGCGATTCCAGGTGAGGCTTCCTTCCCCCACTTCTCAGCCTGCGGTTCTCATGCTGAGCTCTCCTGACTTCCTTCGTCTGGTCTGGGCGACTTTAAAAGTGGGTGGAATGGCGAGCCCGGCCTCCAGGCAATGCAGACAATTGAACAGAATGGGAATGTCCACAGGACAAGCATCCCCTTTGGAAAGAGGAATGATTTGGGCTAGGGCTCCTCTCTGATTTCAGTGACTTAACACTGCCACCTACCTCGGAAATGCCCTTCTTCCAGTAATTATATAATAATCTGCTTATAGAATCATATCAGAGCCCCAGATGGTAGGGAAATCTAGGTTCTGATCCTGCCTCTATCACTTCCCAGCCCTACACCCTTAAGCAGGTTATTTAACATCTCAGAGCTTCAGTTTCCTCATCTCTAAAATCAGAATAATAAAGATGCTACTTCAGAGCTAAATAAGATAATGTAAATTCATGGCCCATATCAGGTGTTCCAAAACTGTCAGGGACTTTTATAACTCATCATTATCTTCGAGTTTATGGGTCTTTTTGCCACTCTCCAGTGCCATAAGGATAGTGAAGAAGTATTTCAAAAAGTTACTTTATGATTATATACCAAACAATCTAGAAATTCACAAAGAAACTCATGAGTAGAATATGGTCAAGTTGACATATCGAGCAACCTTTCTGGCAATTCAGCAATAAAAGTGCTCTGAAGTTGGGGAGGGGTGCAGTATGAAGAGAAAAAATTTCCCTTTGAAATAACGATTTCATCTTTTGTTCTGGCCTGTCTCAGGGTAAAGAAAAGCCAATTCAGAAAGTCCCTGGAGCTAAGCAAATTCTCTCCCATCAGCTCGTGGGCTGTGTCAGCAAAGCCAGGTCTGCCTGCAGGAAATGGGAGCCCAGAAGTCTCCCCAAGGCCCTGTCCTCTCTAGTGTCACAGCTCTGCTGCACTTCTGAAGGCCGCTGTGGAGGACACCGGGTCCAGTGCCTTCCTCACCCGCCCCCTTTGGCACAGAAACCCAGCTGGGCTTTTTGTTCCTGTGGGGCAGCCTCCCCCCTTCCCTTGTTCTCTCCCTCCCTTCTCCCTCCTGGATATTAAACTTACTGTGGTTTCATCTACTTTATCATCTCATTTGCTTTCTGATCTGATCCTGGGCTGCCATGTGGCTGATCAAAGGCAGATGTGAGCTCTCATCTTCACAAAGAAGCCCCTGTATTCAAACAAACATGTTAATTTGTCTCTCCTTGCTAGCAGTTACCTTTCCTTGCTTCCCTCCTACCATTTCTCAATATATTCATTCAATCCCTGTGCACCCGCCCCCTGTATGCTCTCTTTCTCCTCCCTTTTTATGACCTTTTATTCTCATTTGTCTCTAAAAATCTGCCCCTTCTCCAGCTCACATTCTATTGTAGTTTAAAATAATAAAATTTCTTTTACCCCCTTTTCAGCCTCCTTATACTTGAACGAAATCAGTTTCTTAAAACTTCAGACATGTTCCTGTTTTCAGCAGCCTAATTTGTTTTTAATGGAGGCATATGTTACACAATCCTAGCTCTCTTTTCTTCTTGTCTGCCTTCCCGGCTCCTTCTATCTTTCCTGACTCCCCACTCACACTCACCTAATCTACCCCTCCTGCCATGATGTGTCCTTCTCCCTTGTCCTTCCTTCCCTCTTTCCTGTCTTTTATTGTCCCTTCCCTCCGAGAAAGAGTCACACTTTGGCCGGCTCTCCAAACTCTACCATGCCACTGCTTCTCTTGCTCCAGATTTTCTGCAGAGCTGCTACTTTCAAGGTTTTGAAATTTAGTAAATCCTTGATAGTTTGCCATAATTTGGAGAGAAGGGCAATGAGAAATAATAAGCCCTTAACAGAATATTTTACAAAAATCTCCCAGTTGAAGGATATTAAGTGGATACAATATGATTGTTAACAAAGAATTCTGAAAGCTGTTCACAGAACTACCAATAACAATTTACTGAGTTCCCAGGGCTGTGGTATTTCAGAGGTTTGCCCCTGCCCTCAAGAAGTTTAAAATACAGTACAGAAGATACAGCAGGCTTGTATATGACCATAATGAAGGCAGAATATGTGAGAAGCTGATTCATTTGACAAATACTAATCCCTACACTGAGGTCAGAGCTGTGGAAAGCTCAAAAATGAATCCACATGATCTTCGCCCTCAGGGCCCTTAGAGTCTATGAAGGATCAATTTATAGTTAAATGATGACTACGCAAAGCAAAAAAACAACAAAACCCTTATGGTTTAGGGCAATAAGCAGTTCCTAGGAGAAAGTGATTAATGTAAGTAGGAAGGTAGGGGCTGTGTCACAGCAAAGATGACATTGGATCTGGGTCTGGGAAAACTACTGGCCTTTGAAAGTAAGCAAAGGCAGCGTCACATGGAAAATGGGGTTTGTCTTCATGTCAACTTTGGTTCACTGTGAAAGATTGTGGGAACCCTCTGTTGAGGAGTCTGAGTCTGGGTCTAGGCCTGCTGAGGTACTGCACTCTGACTGATTGGCAGTCTTTCCTTTGACTCAAACAGGGGAAGTAGAGTCATATGTGCCTGCACATGACTTCCCATGCTATGGAGATAGTAATGCACAAGCAAAGTTCAGAGGCAGAAAGTGGCTGGGACATGGTGGGGGAAAAGGAGTGGCCCAGTGTGGCTTTTGGAGAGATGGTGAAGGGAGACAGTGGAAGTGACACTAGGAAGGCAAATACCATATTGTAGAGGACACTGAATGCCATGTGTGAAGATTGAACCTATAAAATTTTTGAGCAGAAGAAGACAGAACCAGATTCATGTCAAGTTTATCAAAAAGGAGGAATATTAGAGACCAATTAGGAGGCTATTAAAATAACTTAGCAAGTGATAATAAGAATTCATCTAAGGGATGCCTGGGTGGCTCAAATGGTTAAACATCCAACTCTTGATTTCGGTTCAGGTCATGATCTCACAGTTCATGAGTTCAAGCCCTGCATCAGGCTCTGTGCTGAGAGTTCAGAACCTGCTTGGGATCTCTCTTTATGCCCCTCCCCCAATACATGTACTTGCATGTGCACATGCACTCTCTCAAAATAAATAAATGAACACTTGGAAAAAGAACTCATCTAATAAGTATGATGGTAGTGGATTGAGGGATTTGATTCAAATGATATACCTATGACACAATCTCTTGAGGTACAAGAGAAGGAAAAATCAGAAATGAAACAAATTGGCAAGAATGAAGATGATGCCAGTAACTATGAGAGGGAAGACAGGAGGAGAAGTTTTTAGGACAAAAGCTAATAAATTCGGGTCTTTTCATATCAAGTTTCAGATATTGGTGGATATAGAAGTAATTGGGAGAAGAAAGCAGAGAGGATGAGAGTCAGACCACTTGAACACATTTTGGGGGCAAAATTATTTAAGACCAGAAGCTGAAAATCCATACCTGCATTCAGCAAATATTTATTGAGCACTTACTATTGCCAGTGAGATGAAGTATGGCCCTAGAAAGTAGGATGTTATTGATAAAATATCAATGGCTGAAAAAGCAAGAAGTATAGAGCTTGAAGAAAGCAGGAAAAGTTGGCACATATCCACCATGGATAAACAGATTCCACCAGAAATAAAACCATCGCAATGTGTTCCAGAGGCTATAAAAGAGAAAACTAAATAGGAGAGAATAAAGAAGAAAAAGACCCTACAAGGCACAAATGTTTTATAGAATCCAGCAATTCATTAACAAATAGGTAAGAATCAGTTGTGCTTAGCAAATGTATTATTTAAATGCAAATGATGCTGCTTATGGTCTTCACTCTTAAGTAGGCTAAAGGGGAGGCATCTAATGATGGAGAAGGCAAGCGACCAGGGGGACTTGGTTTTGTAATTACTCTGACACTTACTAGTAATATTCCTTGGGCAAGTTACTTAATAACTGAGTCTCAGTTTCCTTCTCTACAAAACAAGGAAATTATATTTACTTCACTGTGTTATCACAAGGATTAAAATTAATGTGCAAAAAATGCCTGGAACAATAAATGGCAGCTATTATCATACATTTTTTTTAAATGTTTTTTATTTATTTCTAGGAGAGAGAGAGAGAGAGAGACAGCGTGAACAGGGGAGGGTCAGAGAGAGAGGGAGTCACAGACTGAAACAGGCCCCAGGCTCTGAGCTGGCAGTCAGCACAGAGCCCGACGCGGGGCTCGAACCCACGNAGTCAGCACAGAGCCCGACGCGGGGCTCGAACCCACGAACCGTGAGATCATGACCTAAGCGAAAGTCGGACGCTTAACCGACTAAGCCACCCAGGCGCCCCTATTATCATACATTTTTAAAATTTGTTAGTCTAACACTTCTTTCCCTGCTTCAAGTCAAGTTCTGTCACCAAGTTTCTAGATGAGTAAACTATTTGCGCATCCTAACGAATAGTCTCTAGTAACAAAGCTCTGTTGATCTGATTATAGTATGTCCTCTACAGTGCTAGTCCCTGACCCAGCCACCTGGCAATAATTCTAAAAACACATCCTTATGCAGTTTTCATTAGAGGAGAAGATGGGACAGTTGGGCTGATGGCAGAGCAGAACTGATCTTTGTTTTCACATGAAATAACAATTGCTCATCAAATCTCACCCTGTTCCACCTCAGATATTCAAATCAACCTCCCATAGAAATATTTCTAAATCCTTATACTATCTATAATTCCCACCCCCCACCTTCACCCACCAAATTCACTCCACGCCCCTTCCCCATATTCTCAATACCACTTCACAGCATCCTAGCATTCACGATGCCCTTTCTTTCTCATGGTCACATTGAAAGGGTCCTGTCTCTTGAATCAGGTCCTCTGTCCCACTCCCATTTGGCTGCCATGTTCAAGACTCTCATTACCTCAAACCAATTTCTAGACTACCATCTGTTCTCTATTCTAGTCTGCCCTTCACACTACAAAAGAGATCTAATTATGTCATTGTAGCACTTGCTAACTTCCATTAGCTCTGTACGTTGCCCACAGGATAAAATCTATACATTTGAGTTGAGCTTGATGACCCTTTATATTCCCAACTTAGCAATCCAGTCCATCCTTTGCTCCAGTTTCCCAAACATATATCATTTACTAGTTCAAGTCATTGTATGCATCGTTCCCTTCATATGTAACACCTTCCACAACTTATTTGACACACAAACTCCTACTCATTTAAAACCCAGCTTAAATATAACTATCAGTAATAGAGATTGAGGACAATTTCATAATATTAAAGTTCCATCTTTAACTAAGCCGTCTGTAACCTGGAGAGGTTCTTAGGAGAACCACCAAGCAAGTTAAGGCTAAGCAAAGAAACAGTTTATAACTTGGCTTTGGCCTAAAGCCCGAAAGGAAAGCTCTGAGTTGGCAACCCTAAACAAGACTGCTTTGAACTCAATTATTTTACTTGGACAGCATAACTGACTCTTTCGGTGGGACTTCACTTGTTTCTAGCTGCCTTTCTAAGAGCCTGAGAGAAATGAAAGGGTGGGAGTTCTCTTTTCTTAGGCTGTAATGGCATAAACTCTGACTTACCCTCCCTCACAGCTTGATGGGAAAATAGATATAGGGCTATTTACCCCACCAGAGGTTCATGTTTTATACTTGACATACTAAGACTTCATCCTCTAGAAAACCTGATCCAACAAATATCCTTGAACATGAAAAATCTGTAGCAGTCCTCCCTGTCCTTAGAATGAAGTGATATGCCAAGAAGGTGCCAACAGCAACTTCCCTTGAGATTTCTTCCCTCTCTCCACTCCCCATTGCCCTGTATGAACGAATTACTCTTTCTTTCATCTGTGTTCCTTTAGTAATCTGTTCATCCCTCTCTGAATGCACATACATCTTCTATAATTAGTTTTTAATATATATCTTTCCCACTCAACTATCATTTTTAAGAAGGCAAGAATTGCATTTATCTTGTAGCCCTGTATGTCCAGTGCCTAACATAGGGAAACCACTAGCTCATATGGTGCCTTATTTGAGTCCCCCTACTCCTACTGTCTGGACACTTGGTGCAGGCCACAACTTGGACAACTGTATCCAGAACCCTAGATCAGCACATAAGAGGAACTCTTTAAATATTTTTGAGCAAGTGAATAGAGCATAAAGGAATTGCTTTGGAGTATGAGGAATACAGTGACAATGTAAAGGTTGAGAAACTACGAGGCATAAAAATTAATAGAATTTGTGA